GGACCGTGAGCGGCGGCACCATTTTAGACACATTTTTTTCTAAAAGTTTACCCCTGACGCTGGACAGTGTCACTGGTAATGGTGACACTGTCCCATTAGATTGTATTTTTAATTTTTTACACATTATTGGTATTTTTAATTCTATATAAATCTTTTACCGACATGTTTTGATTTTAACTTGCTGTTTTTTTACATTTTACTTTAATCTACTTTCATTGCTTTTACCGGTTGTTTGGCGCAGATAACCTAGCTGCTTTGCGCCATAAAACACCAACCAACCAACCAACTGAAAGGAAATTATACAGAAATTACTTTCTGTAACTGGTGAAGTCAATTAAAATTAAATTCTTAATTCTTTATGAAGTTACAGATTTTATCGTCTTTATTTTAAAAATCTCAAAATCTCTTTCAGTTGGACGCAGACGGATGGAGTTCAAAGCTTATAAAAGTTGTAGAGTACAATAGTACATCTTAACTTCTTAACATTCAGTAAGATGAGCAGAAAATTTCTAAAAATCTAAAGTGCATTGTTTATAGGTGATACTTTTAAGATCTGTGCAGATATCAAAGTTTAATAATGTTTTACATTTTTATTTGCAAATTTCATGAAATAAATATTGCACAATTACAAAATATAAATTCTAAAATATTTTGGAGTAAAATATTATTGAAATAGCATCAGATTACTATTGTTAATTAAATTTTGAAATTTGGTATGCAAATGTGGACTTTTCATTATAAAGCTGCTTGTGAGTTGTAATAAGGTTTAGATTGGTCATGGGAAGTACTTCAACTGCCCCTGTAAAATACATTTCACCTCACAAGTCTCATCAGCATCACAAAACACTGACATAGTTACAACCAAAATTATTCACTAGGTCTCGGTGTAATGACCACCATTCCATCATAAAGGCACTGGTCTTTTCAGCTGGGATATTTCAGCCCCACAATGACCCTGCCAACACAAACAAGTAGGGGATTGACTAAAAGGTTCCTCAGGAGACATTCATGGGTAAACAGGTGCTATACAACCACCACTGATATAACCCATGTGGAATAACCATCTGGTGACTGGTATCTGTAGAAATCAGTTTAAACAGGAAATGTGGAGACTGGGCAGAAGATGAACCAGAAAAAGCCTTTCAACACCTATTTAAAGTCCATGGTAGACAATAACCTGTCACCATAGCCACAGATGATTCCTACACCAAAGATAATGAGAGAGCTTGATAGATGCTTACATCTTGCAGAGCAACATTTTACATAATGCAGGTGGAGTATTCAAATTTCCCACAAGCAGAACAAAGATGGAGCTGAAATCCATAAAGTAAGCTTTCCTCTGGACTGCTGAAAGCAACAAACTGCAACTAGATAGTACCACTTCATATATTTGTGACTGACTTACAGGCAGTACTGAACCAAATTGAGTGTGGTTGGTCCCCAGATGGATGGCAGAAAGGAAAGAATGTGCATGGTAAGACATCACTTGGATGTATGTGCCAGGCCATGCAGGGGTAAATCTGAGTGAGGAAGCTGAGAAGCCCTTTTATTGAATCTAGTGGAACTGCTAGTGAGATATCAATCTGCTACCATGGAATGTCTGTATCAACATTCATATGGAATGAGATTGCTGGAAACTAAAGTACTGTATGACATAGCTAAAAAATGCAAAAGATGGGGAATCAGTAGGACAAGATACAGCTAGAAGGTCACTGGGAATATCAGTAAAGGAACTCATTTTCTACCTACTATGAAATCTCTGCCTGAGGGAACAGTGCCTGCTGGTGCAACCCTCTGAATTGTTACCTAGTAGCAAAATGAACTCAGTCTATAACTAAAAGTCAGCAGGAATTAGGAAGGGGGAGCTTGGTAGCCAGGCTTGATGAAAGTGTGGGTGAGAGAACATGTTACATGATTCACTTTCATTCAATTACTCATATTGACTTCATGGTCATCCTGTACAGACCAATGTTAATTATAGTTTGTTAATATTAGTAGTTAAAATAAACGTTCACTGTATTGAACTACTTTCTGGAAGTGTAGCAAAGAGGTATAGTTCTCAATACTGTCCTACAGCTGTGTTAAAATAGGTGATCTGAGGAGACAAGTTACATGATATATGCTTAATTAATATTCATTTGGCTTTTTGGAAGTAACTGGACATTCAGATAACCCCAACAAATCCAAAAACCAGATATTTTACAGTAAAAAAAAAAAGGGCATCAAGTATCATTGTATTGAAACTTGGAAAGTAAGCTTTAAGAGAGAGAGAGAGACAGCATGTCTTTTGAGTGTAATCAAGCTTCTCAAATTTATGCAATGGTACTGAAGTTCGTGTTGAATATGCACACTCACATACATGTGTGTGTATATATATATATATATATAATTTATTTATTATTCAATTTTATTATTAATTAACATTATATAAGTTATTAACATTATTATTGGAAAATTTTCTTGATGCTGTTAAGTTATTACTATAAATTGTTTTTGTGTACCTCTTTAAACCAAGAAACATTGTTAAAGTTATATTTTCCTATAAATGCTGCCCTTAGTTTCTCATTATGTTCAATCTATCATTGACAACAATATGAGGAACTAATTTTGTTTTCAGTAGTTCGTAACTAGTAAGAGCTGAAATTTGTTCAAATATATACCAGTGATAAGAAAAAAAGTGGATTTTACTTATAGATATGACCTCATATAGAGATTTTAAGTGTCCTGTCATTATTTTTTAGCACTACAGAACAAAGCCAGAACCCTACAGCTGTTCTTCAAGCTTTGAAATATTATGCCCATGCTATTCAGAAGAAAAAGGGAGAAGCCAAATTCTTAGGGACGTCTGAAACTGTTGAAGAAGAATCAGAAGAGATAGAGAATACAATAACAGGTACAGATTTGAGGGTTAATTAGAATGGTATTTGTTTTCTCACAACAGAGTACACTAAAACTCTTAGGAAAGACATATGCATAGTGATTGTGTTAGCAGCCTTCACTGGAATAAGGTTGTCTGTAAAAATAGTCTGGTGTGTGTAATGTACTGTAATGTTAGATTTTGATTGTTATGTAGCAGTGTTAGTTTCTTAGTTCTGTAAGGATTATTACGATATTTATTTGAAACTCCAACATTGTAAGATCTCCTCACACAACTATTCTTAATCTTTGGTATTATTATGAGTCCTTAAAATTAGGAAATTAAGTTCAAAATATTAAAAAAAAAATGCTTTCACATGGTCCATTTTGAATATATTCTTCTCCTTAAAGACACACAATCAGGATAGAAAGCAAGATTCCTCAGTAGTTTGCATAATGAAAAACTTGTATTAGGTTTTTGTATTGATTAAAAGTATTTGGTTAAATCACAACATTAGAGACAGCTCTCTAAGTTAAACCTCAAGAATCAGCTTTGTCACATTCTACTTCTATGATATTCAATTTCTTTGGCAAGTCAAAATGAAAGCAAAACATGCAATGTTTAAACCAACCAAAATACAGTGAAATAATCCTAAAAATTTTATTTTAAAATCATATTTTCTCATTCTTCAAATAATGTAAAATGGAACTTTTCTGTTTACTTGGTAAGAAGTATCTAAAATGAGTAACACTACTATAAATTTGAAGTAATGAACCTATTGTCTCCTCTGATTCTAAAAAATGTAATAATCCAAAACAGAACTCAATTGCATGGTTTGAATGAATGATGCATGTTAGTTCAGGTTTTGAACCACATATCAATTAAAACAAGTGTTTCATTAATGATTTTAACAAATTGTAAAAGCTACTATCAAGGGAACTATCAGTCTCATTTAATTTCCAGTCTTCTATTTTTCTTAAACATGCTTTGAATATTAATCAGATGTAAGCAGTACATTGGCTAGAATCTACGTTTTTCTCACACTAAATTTTAGTAAATTTTGGATTTGTTTGCATGATGGTTTTCCATCACTAATTTTGTTCTGTTTAGTTAGCACTATATCACATCACTGCTACAAGTTACATGAGTGGAAGTTTGAATTTCCCACATTATTTGTAATAGTACTGATTCAGCTGCTGATGTTATGAATTAGTATTTTGAAATTTGGCAATGCTGATTAAGTTATCATATCTAAAGAAATGCAGTGAAAATATTTAATTAAACAAAGTGCTTTTTATTTTGTGTGGCATACATATTTTCTATTAGTCTAAAAGTTGGATTATCAAGAAAAGAGTAAATAGTACTTTACAGAGCCACTCGGGAAATAACTAAATAGATAGGCCTACACTTTCAAAGCTATAATATGAACTTTTACCTTAAACAAATTTGATGTTCACCTTGGTTCATTTCAACAAAACACTAAAATCAGTCATAACTGACATCTCAAGTTAGTTTAAAATCTTAATCTTTCATGTTACTCACAGGAAAAATTAAGAAATTAAAAGAAAATGTTTGAGTTGTTTTTCTTATAGGGCCATTTTTATGTTATCGTATTTGATGTTTTTCATGAAATGGCATTTCTTTGCCATATGACATTGCTGATTTCGAGGATTGTATTTTGTTTAGTCTGCCTGTATGAAACTCCAACACAGTAACACCTGTCCACCCGAATTTCCTTCATCCTTTTGTATTATCTTATATTATGTAATTATTTTTTTTGCCAAACTTTTATCTAATACATATTTTTTTAGCTACATTATATACCCATCTAAATCTTTTCAAGGTTTTCAGAAGAGGCCTAAGTGAAAGTTATAGAGGTCCAAATTGGGGAGGGGATTTGCATAGCCCCCCTTGCTAGTCCAGGGAAGTTCCTTGGTAAGAGGTTTGAGTGAGGAAAGTCCTACCCAAAAATTATTTCAACAATTCTAAGGGATAAAGAAAGCATCTCTCAGGGTCTTTTATTATATTTTGAAATATCTGGATTGTTTGATAATAAAAATAATCAAACAAGGAAAAGAAATTAATATGATCATAATCTGGTTTAAACTTTTAGAAAAATATCTATCAAGTTACAAATTGTTATCAATTAATACTTGTCTGAATTTTTCAAAAAAAGCTGTAGTCTCTCTGACCATATAAATTTTAAAAATATTACATTGCTTCACTGTTTAACTCTAACACTTAAAAGCTACAGATTACATTCCTTATAATGTTTCACTAACATTAATTCTTTATTGTCAAAAATTGTACACATTTATTTGCTTAAGCTTCACAGTCACAAATTTAACTATAAAATTTACAACTTGTACAAATAAAGAGCAGTAGATGAAAATGTTTTCAGATTAAAAAGTCGTTCATATGTCTGTTCAAGTCTGTCATTAACTGCTTAATTTGTGCTCTTTTTAACCTTTTATACATTGACAATTTGCAAAATTAGGAGAGATTTCACAAACACAGAAGACATACTAACAATAATACTGATGAGTCAGTGTTCTGACATTTTTATAATAACAAAGATGATCTTTCACATTTCAAACTAGTTGTCTTAAGGTCTGCTTCAGTTGGATATTCCTTACATGAAGGAGAGGAACAACACCTTATTTATATCATGGAACCCTTTTTCAACCAGAATTAAACAAAAACATTTCTTTAACTTAATGTTTCCTTTCTGACTAATTGTTGTTGATTTTAGGTTTTTTTACTGTGACCTAAGCTTTATACCCGTACCCTACATTCTCTCATTTCTTCATTTCTCTCTTTTTATCTTTTTAACCAGTAGTGTATTACCCATAAAAAGGAAATTTACTGTATTTTCTTTCCATTATTTAAAATTACCTTGTACTTTTCCATTCACTTGCATTTCTCTATTCTGTTATTGCCAATCAAATTTGTTTTTCATTTAGTTTTTATAATGATATTAGGCACTTCCTGATGAAGAGCCTTGGCTCAAAATATCGTTGTTATTTCAAATAAATTTAGTGTTTTCCCATCTGCTGTTTATTTTCAACAAGTAATATTTTTTCCAAATCTAATGTAACTAGAAATTAATAAAACTGCTTCCTGACAGTGAAAGGTTATGGTTTAAATGTCAAAAGCTAACAAAGGATTAGGAACCAATAGGTCTTAAACCTGTAATAAAAATAATTAACTACAAGAAGTATAAGAACTCTTTAACAATGTTAATGAGATGCGTATATATTTATAGTTATTATATATTTATTGGTGCAGTTCTGTTTATAACTTTCCCATGGATTCTAAAACTCTATGTAGACAACAATACAAAAATCTACATATTTTACAAACTCGGTTCACAACATTATTTTAATGAAACCTTTGCACTTTTTCTAGGCTGAAAAAGCAAAATTAAGAAAATATTACCTTCAACAAATCTTATTCTGATAAAAAACAAATGCAAGTAGATAAGCTTATTTGTAAAATATTGATTTAAAAACTCAAGACATAAATGTTGTTTAAATTTTAACATGTTTTTGGTAGCCAAAAAACATTGGCTTACAATGCATGTAATTTTACATTTTTTGGAAAGTTTCAAATGCTTAATTTTTCTGTAAAATTACAATGCTGATTCAGAAATGAATGACACAGATAACAACTATAGCTTACAATTGAAACTCAAAGCACTGATCATTTGAGACTTACCCACTCCTTACCCCTTAGAGGGTAATTCTCAGTTTCATTTAAAATTATATCTTGCAACCTTGGAGAAAAAGGTTTTTTATTTTAATATTTTAAATGAATACATGAGCCATATATTTTAATCCTTAGGGCAAAAAATCCACAAAATTTCAAGTGTATTAGATTTAATGACACAGTATTCTTTACACAAACCTTTGCAATCCTTTTTTTGGATTGCGCCAAAATAATCCAATATTTTGTAACAGTTGGAGGCCGTAACTGTTATAGGTCAGAGTTAAGCAGACACTTTTAGTCATTATTACTGTTGCATTCAAATTTCTATGTGATAAAATTCACCTATAGAATGTTTCACTACAAAAACTTGTTGGTGCACCTAACAACAAGCTGCATTTATTTCTGTGATGTAGACAATGACTTTACAACTGGAATAAATGCACTCTTGCAAATAACTTAACATTTACAAATACATAATCACAAATTTTAAAATAAATTTGAACTAGCTCAATTCATACTTGAGGTGGTCATTTAGGCCAGTAGTTGGTTCTTAGAAAAATCACTGAATTATCTCTGTTGAATATTAAATTTTGAAAAGGAATTGTTACAGTAGCAAATTGTATTAACTTAAAGTAGCACTGACACTTAAAACTGGGAAAATGTACATGGTGAGGAAACACTGTTAAACACTTCATACAACCTTTTGGCAAAAAAAAAGTATGATGTCACAATCTCTGACAGTACACTTTCAGTCATATATGTCATATGCATAATTAATGTGGCGGGGATAAAGAAATACATAACATAAAGTGATTTAACACCATAACTTTAGTTGGGAGTGATAAAAACGTGAAAATTGATACACATGCTCTTTGTTAACATCCTCCTAGCTTGAATTAAAAACTTTGCAAATTTTCTGCAATGTTAACAAGCTAAGGGCAGTTAATTTTAATTAATGCCTTTGTTAGTGGTAATTAGGCTCATATCAACAAAATTGTTAAAGATTTTTGAATTAAAAAAAAATTAAGCTATAGAAAAGTGTAATATCAACAAGTGTGCTAAACTTCATGCTGATATTGGCTTGAATGGTGAAGTTATCGTTCTAATAAATTGGTTACCCCAGTGAAGATTGCATTTTGAGAAAATACCTATTAAAGTTATTCTGCACTTAAATATCAGTAAGCTTTTAGTGAATGTGTGAATTTACCACATTTAAAATATCTCAATCCCATTGCAGGCACCAGGAGCCTTCCTAAATTCATTTCCTCTTCTGATATCCCTCTGAAACATAAACATTCCCTTCTTTTTTGGTAGCAGCTTCCTCAAATCCCTTCTTGACATTTCTGTAAGACACACATTCCCGTTTTTCTTTCTCAGAGGTAGCCCTTTCTGCTTCTTTCTAAGTCAATTTTCTCTAGGCATTTTCTTGCGTATGGTCTTACAGTCGTTTTAATTGGTTAAAGGACTCTTATTTTGGTTGCAGCACCTTCATTAAGGGTGCACACAGCATCAGCAGCAGGCCAACAAATGGTGTTGTTGCTGGTAAATGAAGACTTGGGGCACCTTCTCCAGAACATGTGATTCAATGACTTATTAGGAATTTAGGTAATGCAGTCCAAGCATTTTTGAAGCAAAGTTGGGTTAGGGAGTGTCAAATATTGGTTTGATGCTGGTGCTATGGTATGCTTATGATGGAAGTCCTCAAGTTCCCCCTTTGCTTCTGCCTTATGATAATTGCACCAACTATCCACTCACTTCGAACAAAGGTGATGCTGTGGGTTGGAGTCGGAAGAGATCTTGTGATAGTATTTTGCCCGAACACCATCTTTCATCCCCTGTAGGCCTCCTTTGTTACTTCGTATGACTTTTCCATACCAGAACTGGAAGGAATCTATCTATAGCTTTGTCGGTTAACCGCCCCTTCCATCCAAGGGAAAATGGGTCAAATTGGCTTGATTTTAGGGCCATTTCCATGGAAATGAAATGAAAACAAACTTGACTTTATTAACGATTTAAAGACAAAAATGAGTTATCTATGTAGGAAAGAGGTTAATTCAATACAGTGGTTTTCTGTTAAATGCAACTGCACTTTATCAGCTTCTTAAGTGAAATTGTGCAAAAATTCCAAATAGAATTATTTATAAGAAGTTTAATAACAAAAGGACAGGAAAAATTCATGCAAACTTTAGAAAACAGAAAACTGCAATTATCAAGATTGTATACAGTGGGCTTTAAGTGTGCCTGATTTCAAGGCAGTTCATCCTGTATATTGTTTCTTATTTAATAAATTATCGGAGAATACAACCATCACAATCATTAGTCAAGTGGAAATCCTAGAACATTTGACTAGGCACTCTATAAACTGTTGATAAGGATTGCAGAAGCTTAACTTGAATAACAGCACCCTCTGTCTCATTACTGTGTATTTGAAAAGTTAATGTAGTGATCGGTGATAGGCAAGATGTAACAACTAAATTATTCAGGTTAGCAGAAGATGGGAATTTCATTATAGACAGCATGGGAATCTTGTATTGACAATATGATGAAGTTATTTATTCAATTTGTGTCAAAGATATTGACTACTAACTGGAAGTAAGATGGGAATTTCATTATAGACAGCATAGGAATCTTGTATTGACAATATGATGAAGTTATTTATTCATTGTAGTCAAAGATATTAACGTACTAACGTGAGTAAGATGGGAATTTCATTATAGACAGCATAGGAATCTGTATTGACAATATGATGAGT